TAATAATAATTCTGACTATGGGAAACTACAAATACCATAACTGTGTGTCTTACCATAAATTGTACCCCCGTATAATTCTTCCATAGAGGATGGGTTGGCCAGTGCATAAATTGTGGGAATTGAACATTGGGGAAAAAATGTAAATAAAAAAAAGTCCCGATGATTCTTTTTTCAGGTCAGTACCTGAAAGATGTAAAATTTGAATTGGACAATACTGGGGACGACTTCCGTGGAGGCTGAACCCTCCAAATTTCCCATAATTACGAATAGCATTTGGAAGTTAAAGCTCATCCGCGAAATGAGTAAGACACCAGAATTTTTAACTGCCTATAATGATATAATTGTGAGCATTAATTAATAAATTTTTAGAAGAGGTTTCTTCCGAGCAAGCAAAATTTTTGGTCATATTTGCCACATCACGGAGGAAGAAGGTTCTAAGACCACTCCTCTTTAGATTTTTGTTTTAATTGTTGTGCCCCGGGTAAAAAAAAATGACCCAGTTTAAATGACTGTTTGATAAGGTCCGTCGTTGACGGAAAAAAATTAGGAAAATTTTCTTATTAAAATTTGGGTGAAAAAATTTTCCTTTTTGGCGAATAATAAAGCCTTCCAAGGTGGGGTTTCAAGAGGCGACCGGGAAATTTACCCGCTTCTTAGGCCTGAGAATCCTTTGACCCACTTGCCCCCTGAAAAAATTTCCTTTAGAGTGTTTTATTTGGGGACTCCAGTCCCGTTCCTACTTCAAGCGACGATAAAGCCACCTTAAAGTAGGGGAATCCATTGGTAAAGTAAAGAGCAAACAAATTTTTTGGGACAATTTTGGTGTGACGTCAACTGAAGAGGGAATGGGTTAATGACTTTTTGAGGGCTAATAAAAAATGATAGTGCAAATAGCCTCGAGAGAATGGGAAAATAATTCGTCCCAAAATTTAAGGCAAAAAAAGTAAAATTACCCGGAGGAAATGCCAAAATGTATATGTATTGGGGGTTTTAATTGGATACGGAGAGATTTGTTTTAAAGTTAAAACCAAAATTACAGTATGCCCCTAAATTAACTAAGGAAATTTTGCTTGCGAAATTTCCAAATGTTTTGATCCCTAGGTTTAGTGTCACCCCTTACTTAAGAGGGAAATTATTTAAATTCAGGAAACGGGAAAATTAAATGTGCTTGGGGGAAAAATTTCCAGGAATTCATTAACAGGGGGATAATTTTTTGGTGATTATGAAAAAATTTCCCAATTTAGTTCCCACGCAGGTGGCCAAACCAAATGGGAAAAAAGTACTCCACATTTTTTGTGAGCTTCAAATTTGGGATATGGAGCATTCTTACCTTCAATTAATAGTGTTATTTTTCTGTTATTCTAAGGCTAAAGGTCTCCAATTTTAAATCCCACCTTACCTCAGTTTGGGAAATTTAAAAGCATTTTTTGTAGGTGTCAAATTAGCTAAATTTTTTAAAAAAAATTGCAGGAGATAAATATTATGACACTGTAATTTGGGCTGATAATGAGGGATCCTTACAATGGGTTCGTTTTTGGAAACAGTAAAATTTGTACGTACAAAAAGAGTCGCTGAATTAATCGAGCAAGAGAAATATAAAAGTTTGGGTCAGCATGTGTTAACATTTTAAACATATACCTGGTAAGGGAATCCACTGATTTCTTTTCTCGAGGTTTACCTTAAGCTAAAATTTTTAAAACTGTATCTGGGTTTTAAAAGGGCAGAGTTGGGGTTTGGGAAATAAACTAATTGGCCTGTACAAAAGGCGTATATTGCTCCTGTGAAATTACGTACCCCCGCTCCAACAGTTTGTCCCCCCCTTGCCCCTTGATTTAAAAAAAGGGATTCTTTTTACCCAAAATAATAATTTTAAATAAGTTTGGGGTTTAAATTTCAAAAAAAATGAAATATCAATAAGTTTTCACTCCTCTTTAATATTTGGGTAAAGAGGGGACAGGGGAAAAAACTATGGAAAGAGATTAAATTGATATGGAAAAAAAAATTGTGAAAGGTTTCCCTAATAGGAAAAGGGGGGGGGGTGATTTAGAGAACAAATTAAATTTGGTGCAGAGGGGGTTACAAAATGTGAATTGGGTGATTATGTTAAACACCCTATCTTCTTTCCCAAAACTCATATCTAACAAATTTAATTTTTCTAAAGCCCATAAAAATGTAATGCATGGTGGGGAAAGAACCTTAAATTGATTAGGGGGAAATTTCTGATTCCACAAGGACGGCAAATGTAAAAAAGCGTGATTAAATCTTGTGTAAATTTTCCGTGTGGGGGGCAGATCCTATTGTCCCAGTCCTCCACCATTGCCAAATGGCAATTTGAGTCGTTAGAAAAAACCGGCCTGCCGCAGTGGGAAAATACGTATAATTTTTTCGGGAAAAACGTAATTTATAGGGAAATAATGCCCTATATTGTATTTTTAAAAGAAGAGATATCGAAAATGCGAAATGTGGCTGGGGGGCTCCTCCATCTTGGTTTTGAAATTTTTTTACAAACGTTGGTGTAATGGGAAGAATTTTTTGTGCTCTAGAAGTTAAAATTTTGTTGACACTCTCAAATAGGAGGGAAAATTGGGGGATGTGCATTTCCTGCATACTTGAGAACAGAAAAAAAGGGCAAGACAGCTCCAGAAAACCTCAGATAAACTCTTTTTTTTGTAAATTCTGGCCATGTTTTCTAAATTTATTTTGAGTTTTTTGGTATGATACACATTAATTCCATTCAAATTGGTGGTTGAAATTTAAAATATATTTTTTCCCACTGTTATGTAAATTTTGTATATATATAACCATTTTTATTTTTTAAAATACAGTCCACAAATTTATATATTTAAAACCCAAATTCCTGGGAGAAATTCATTAAATTAATAGGGCTAGAAGCAACTTGTTTTATGAAATTATTCGAAAGGGGGACATTTTTTCGCCTGGTGTCCCAAATTCTATTTTTTTCTTGTAACATTTAAAATATAAAAACTTTTTTTCATTTATTTTATCAAATTAGTTTCAATCCAAAAGGGACCAAAACTTCCCTTAAAGCCTCCCCCCTTTTTGATACCCCTTTTTCCTCTCTTTTCCAAAGATTTTTAACTTTGTTTTCTTTGGGGCATTTTTGTTAATCAATTTCCCCCCTGAAAAAAAGTTGTTCGCATCTTCCTAAAACTCAATTCCCAATACCACCCACCTGCCCCCAATTTAGGACATCCCATTTTCCCACCCTTTTTTCGTCCTTATCCCCAAGCTTCACAATTTGACGGGTAATTCCTAAAAAAAAATATTTAAAAATTTCCCGCCCCTTTTCCTCAAGGAAAAGTTCTTTGTCCAAAGAAACCAGTCAACAAATTTTTCCTCATTTTTTGTTTAAAACCTTTTCCCAAAAAATTCTGAACCGTATCAAGAAAGTCACTAGACTCAAGATTCCCTGTCATATTGTTCCAATCAATTTGTCCAAAGCTAAAATCTCCCATTATCACAACATTTTCATATCTAGATGCCTTATAAATTTCGTCCCATAACAGCTTATTGCACTCCCTATCAAGGTTTGTGAGCCTATAAATCACACCCAAAATTAATTTGTCACGACCTTCTTACATACATCGCCACTCAACCACCCTTCCTGTTGACCCTTTCAGTGTGGAATAATTTATAACCCTGTATGTTGCATTCAGAAGGCATTTCTCTATCTTTCAGGTTGAACCAGGTCTCTGTTATTTCAATAATATCTATATTACCTACACTTGCAAGTAATCTTAGCTCATCTATCTTATTTCTTAGACTCCTACTATTTGTATAGTAAACCTTATGGGAGCTAGTCACTGTTTGCCCTCTGCTATCTCTTTTTGTTTGTTGATCAATTGATTTGCCATTACTAGAAACTTTATTTTGAATATTGTCTTTTAAACATATCTCTGAGGTATCCCGGTAATAACTGCTGTTTTTAACCTTAATACTGCAGCCTGATTCTTTCCCACAAACTCCCGTACCTCTATAATCTATCAGTTTAAATTCCTGGACAATTCATCAGTTACCCTCTTCATCGAATTGGCTAATGCAATCACTCCATCCCCAGAGAGATGAACCCCATCCCTTGCATACATATCACGTTTGCCAAAGAATAGGTCCCATTTATCAATGAATGGAATTGCAAGTTCCTTGCAGTACCTGTCTAGCAAGCAATTTATACCAATTGCCCTAGACATCCATTCATTGCCCACTCCCTATCTAGGCAAGATGCTACATATGATGGGGATCCCTCCCTTAGACTTAATTACTACTATGGCTGACCTGTACTTATCCAGCAGCTCCTGTCTCCTGCCCTTCCCAATGTCATTACCCCAAGCACTAAGACAGATAACGGGCTTGTTCCCATTACCTGACATAATATTATGCAACCTGCTGACTATGTCACCAACACCAGCTCCTGGAAGGTACACCCTCTGTCTGGCCTTTCTGTCTCTGTTACAAAAAGCACGGTCCATATATCTTACCTGAGAATCTCCTACTATTAAAATATTCTTACCTCACTAACCACTGAAGTGCACTCGTCCTGGAGAACAGAGAATCGATTTCCTACCTTCACATCTTCTCTGTTAACCCTCCTTATCTTCCTTCTTCCTGAACTGTGAACCACTTGCCACTTAAATCGGCTTCCACTATCAGTGCTGGTGACCATTTCCTCCTTACCAGCTAAATCCTTTTCACACTCACTCCCAAACTCATCTAGGTGAAGCTTCAGCCTCCTATTTTCCTCCTGAAGAAGTAGAACCTCCTTCTTCAAGATCTGAACTATCAACAATGTACTTCTTACACTACTCAGACCTACCTTACAGTCAACAATGTACATCATACACTACTCAGACCTACCATACAGTCTACAATATACATCATACACTACTCAGACCTACCTTACAGTCAACAATGTACATCATACACTACTCAGACCTACCTTACAGTCAACAATATACATCATACACTACTCAGACCTACCTTACAGTCAACAATGTACATCATACACTACTCAGACCTACCTTACAGTCAACATAATATTTGCCAGTAACATTGTTCACTTCTTCAGACACTGCCAGGTAAATACTTGTCTGGGCTCCAAGTTTCTCGTCCTGAAAAATAACGAGTTATGTATAACTAAATAATTGCACATTAATAAGTATATTACTGAGTGAAACCCATCAAATTAGGTGTTTTGTGGCCACTGAAGTGTTGTTGATTCAGAAAGAAGAGCTAGTCTCTCCTTCCTTCGATGAAACTTCATTTTCATAATTTCCTGTGAGATGCATGAACCCTACGGGTTTTGATCTTCCTGATGATTCTAATAATAATTTATTATTTGAGCATCAAAAGTGTGGCAGTAAAAATATGTGAACCAACATAGGATGCATTTCATGACCCGAAAAATAGCTGACAAATAATTACTTTTCTGCATTATCAATAACTATAAAAATCATGCTTCTATAATTTTACTTTCAACGTCAACATTTATAATCATAATTAATAAATATTATTTGAAGATATTTACTTTTCCCATAAGCCAAACAAGTAAGGCGAATATGCTTTTGATAAGGTTAGTTTCACCTTTCCACATTATCTCCGTGTACACTGCACCTGGGTGGACGCTGTTAGCCGTCACATCTGCAGATAAAAATAAAATATTTAACATCTCCTTTCTTTTTCCATTAATTATGTATCATTACAAATCATTTCAAGATAATTAGCCATTAAGGGAAAGTCCTGCTTGTTGATGTGGTGCTCTTGATAGTAGGAATTGAACCTGACCTCTCCTTTCTTAGATCAAACCTGATTGACTGCCATTCCCAATCCTCTGTATCATCCATATGGGTTTAGCGATTCCCCTTCTCAGTAGTAATAATTTTAAAGTATAAAATCTATTTAGAGAGACAATGAACCATGCAAGTTAGAACATATTTAGAACACCAATATTAATAATGAACAAACCTGTTCCCCTCAGCTTCTCTGACAGTTCTTTGGTAAACAAGATATTCGCTAGTTTGCTGTGACCGTAAACGATAAGGCTTTTAGGGAAAGGATTCTTTTCGAAGTTCAGGTCATCTACATCAAGTGATGAGCAGAAGTGATGTGCAACAGAAGACACATTGACCACTCGACTTGGAGCACTTGTCTTCAACAGTCCTAGAGAAACAACATATTATAATTAATTCTGTGGCCAAATACAGTCATTACCTTTATTTTTCTATTCAAATCCATCATTGTAAAATATTTCATAATTTTTTTGTGATTTTTATATGATAGTTTTAATTAATATATAGATTATTAAATATAACTAGCTTTTAGTTGAATATTTATATTTCACCGTCTCGCTGAATTTGCGGGTCGTATCATAGTGTTGATGGGTGGTATACATCATGACCATTGCAATCATAACAGAGACTCTGAAACAGCTTGCAGCAGCGTTGTTTCGAGGACAAGAAATTATGTTCCATCAAACGATAATTTGGATCTTAACCATTTTCACCCAGTCAGTGTCAAGTGTGGGAAATTGCTCACGTGTTGAAAACTTGATTAATACATTAATACCACATGGAAAGATCAATATAATAATAATATTAATAATAATAGTACATAATACCGAGAAGCAGATATGTAAGAAGCATGTGCAACAATTAGGTTTCGCCCACACAGTAGTCTCATCAGCAAAAAACAGAAGCTTTGAATAAGGAGACAACAGAAGCGGTGAAGAGGTAAAGATTATGTGATCAGTCCAGCAACTTTGAGGAGGTAGTTGAGGTGGTCAGTCCCTCAGCCTGGAGATGTGTTCACCTTCATTGTCTTAAACTAAATGAAGCTGAAACATGAGAATGGAGACATTTATGTCAGAGGTGAGGCCCCGATAACAGAGATGACATCAGAGAAAATATTAACATAAGAACGTGAAAAACTGCAGCACACTTAGTGGCCCATGTTAGGAAGGTCCTAAAATACAACTTTTCTCCCGCATAACCAGGGACGGATCTACTGTGAAACAAATTAATCTTAAGCTTCAGGGCTCCCTACTCCCAGAAGGGCCGCAAATGACACTTTAGTCAACTTTGCTTAAAAATTTTGGGTCTACTGTATAAGAAGGGATTCTTAAAAAATAATGATGTTAATAACATGTGAGACTGGAAAGGAACTGGGGGAGAAGTCTGGGGGAGGGACACAGGAGAAGGAGAAGAGGGAACTACGTAGGCGGGGTGAACCTTCATGTTCGTGTGAGAGTTAGAAAAGGGGTGAAAACTTGGCACTGAGGCCAAGAAGGAGAACCGTTGAGGAATTGTAAGCACCGGAGAAATGCGACGAGACTTGGGTTTCGGAGACAGGTTCAACTTCACAGGTGATAGGCAAGAAGAAGGTGCATTCGTGAGAGACCTCGCAGACTGAGAAACTAGCTGGCGAGATGAAGAAGTAGAAGTAGGAAGAGGTGCACAGGTGGGGGTTTCAGAGAGTAAAACTACAAAAGAACTAGAGATGGGGTGACCCCGGAAGACATTGCACCAGAGGAGCTGGTAAGTGGGGGGGATTGTCAAGGTTGGAGGTCTTCTATCTACTCGAGAATAAGGGACACGAGGAAGATTCTCCTGAAGGCAGAGCCGAGAGACAGCCATAGCATAAGTAAGGCCATCACTCTCCTTAAGATAACGGATTTCACGTTCATTAAGATAAACCTGACATTGGCAGAAAAAGAAGGATGAATTTCATTGCAATTAATACAAGTGAAGGGAAGACTGCAAGATATATAGTCATGATCCTCGTCACTGCAGACCGGGCACTCTGCCACAAATCTGCAGTATTTATCTGGATTTCCGAAGCGCCAACAATTTCGATACTGTTAAGGTGCTTATTAAGAAAAAGATATGCAGTAATCCACTAAATGGATTCTTCCAGTTTCGCTGGATTCGGGAGGATTCAAATGCTTTTTGTTTGAAATAAAGCCGGATTTGGCCAGATTCAAATGGTTTCGTTGGAAATAAAGCAAAATCAGAAGAACTGTTACAAAAAATTAAATACATCGGGGAATCATAAACCAGCTAGCTAGGAGAGTTGAATAGTATTGTAAGATGACCACCACCATGAAGATCTGTGTAGTCTGCAGAAAGGGTAAAGGACGAAAACAGGCCTGGATTGCTTGCCATCTGTGTGGTCGATGGTCCCATAGAATATGCAGGGATTTTAAACTAGTGACCACACTTGACATAAACTCAGAGAAATTTTTTGGGTCTGCCAAACGAGATACACCTGTATGACGAAATGACATCTATATTAAAAGACAAGAACACCAATAAAATATCCTTCTTGAAAGACATGTCAGCATGGTATGACAGCTGGGAAAAAAAAGATGGGTGGTAGGGACGGGGCTGTCTTGGACACTGCTCCTGAGGGGGCTAGTGTTGTCCTGGAGGACAGTGCTGAGGGTGCTAGTGTTGTCCTGGAGGAAAGTGCTCCTGAGGGTGCTAGTGTTGTCCTGGAGGACAGTGCTGAGGGTGCTAGTGTGTCCTGGAGGAAAGTGCTCCAGAGGGTCCTAGGTGTTTAGAAGTTTGCGCTTGTGAGGGTCTAAAACTTTTTTTTTTTTTTTTGGGGGGCCCGCCCCCCTTTTTAACCCAAAATTTAAAATTTTGTTTTTCCCCTTTTTTTTAAATAAAACGGAACGTTAAAAAGGGTTTCCCAACCCCCCAGACTGGGCCCAAAAAAGGGTTTATTTTTATGATAAAATTAAAAGGGAAAATTTTCCAAAAATTCCCCCGGTTAATTTAAAACAAATTTGGGGAAAAAAGGGTTTCGGGGTTTCGGAAGGGAAAACCCCTAAAAAAATTTTTTTAAAATAAAAAAAAAAATTTTTTTTAAAAAAAGCCTGGTAAAAATTTTTTTTAAAACCCCAATTTTTTATTTTTCCCCTTTTTTTTAAAAAAATTTTTTTGGGGGATTAACACCTAAAATTTTTCCTTTTCAAAATTTTGGGTTCCCAAAATCCCCTTTTAAAGGGGGTTTAAAAATTTTTTAAGCAAAGAAAAGTTATTTTTAAAAAAAATTTGAAATTTTTTAAAATCAGGATTTTTTCCGGGTTTTACCATTTAAGGAAAGAAAAGGGGGGGGACCCTCTTTGGGGGGGTTGAAAGGGTTAGGTTTAAAAAACCCAACGTAAAAGGGCCTTTAAAAAGGTTGTGGGGATCCTTTTATTTTTAAAAGGGGGAAATTAAAAGTTCGGGCCCCCTTTGGGGAACCTTCCCCCTCTTGGGGGTGCCTTACCTTTTCCTAGGGGGTTTTTGAAATTTTTCCCCCGGAATTTTCCGGGGATTTTCCTTCCCTTTTCCTATAAACAAAATTTAAAAAGGGGGAATTTTTCCCCAAATTTTAAAACGGGGCCCCTTTACCTTTAAAGGGGAAGGGACTTTGCGGGGAAACTTTTAAAGCCCCCCCCTTTTTTAAATTTTCTTTTTTGGGGGGGTTTTTTGAGGGTGGAAATGTTTAATAAAACCGGGTTTTTGGGTTGGGTTTTTCCCCAGCCCTTTGTTTGGGTTTTGGGGTTTTTGTTTTATTGGGTGCCCCGGGCCCCTTTTTTTTCCCAAACCCCTAAAATTTTTCCCTTTGTGGGGGGGCCCAATTTGGGGGCGGAAAAGGGTTTTTTTCCCGGAAAGGCAGGTTTGTAACATCCTTTTTTTAAAAGGGGGGGAAAAACCCGGGAATTTAAAAAAATTTCAAATTTCAAAGGGGGGAAAAACCCTAAATTTTAAAAAATTTTTTTTGGGAAAAAGGCCCCCGGGGGTTTTAAAATTAAAAAAAAATTTTTTGCCCTTTATTTTATTTGGAATTTGGCCCCCTTTTTTTTTTTGTTTTTTTAATAAGTTGGAAATTTTTTTTTCGTTTTTTTTGGGGTAAAGGAACCCTTTTTCTTTTTTCTCCCCTTTTTTTGGGCCCTTTGAATTGGTCGTTTAAGGGTTTGGCCCCTTTGGTTTGGTTTACATGGGAGGTTTTGGCCCCTTTTCCGTTTTTTTGGGGGGAAAATGGGACTTTTTCTTTTAATTTTTTTGGGGGGCCCCCGGGCGGCCAAGGGGGGGTTTTTTTTTTAATTTGTTCCATCTGTTAGGGGGAAAAAACCCTTTTAAAAGGGCGGTTTAAAATTTTTGGGCCCAATTTAAAAACTCTTTTTTGTGGGAAAGCTTTTTTGTTTATAGGGCAAAAAATTTTGGGTTTCCCAAAGGGCTGGGGAAGGGGGGGGAAACCCAAAATTTTTTTTAAAAACCCCTTTTTTCTTTTAAAATTTTAAAAAAAAAAATTTTAGGGGGGAAAAAAAAAGGGGCCCCTTTAAATTTTTTTTTTTTGGGAAATCCCCCCCAAAAGGGGTTTTCCCTTTTAAAAATTTTTTACCTTTTTAAAACCCCCAAATTTTGGGGTTTTTTCCCCCTTTTTTAAATGGGTGGTTTTTCCCCCCTTTCATCCCCTTTCCTTTGGGGGGGATAACCGAAAATAAAACAAAAAGGGCCCCCCCCAACCCAAAAAGAAGAAAAAAACAAAAAACCCTCCCAAAATCTTTAATTTTTAAAGGGAAAGGGTCCAAAAAGTTTTAAAATTCCACCCACCCCCCCGGTTTTAAGGGGGCCCCCCCCATTCCCTATTCCCTTTGCCTTTTTAAAAAAAGGGAAAAAAAAATTACAAATTTTTTAAAAACAGATTTGAAAAAAAAAAAAGGAAAATGGATGGGGAATCAAAAAATTTGGGGTAAAGGAAAAAAAACAAAAGTTAATTTCTAAAAAACCTCAAAAAAAGCCAAAAAAGGAAAAGTCCCCAGGAAGGAAAAAAGCCTGTTAAAGGAATTCCCCTCCCTTCTTTCCCCCCCTTTTTACCAAAAGGGGAAATCCCCGGATATAAATTTAACCCGACCCACGGGATTACCTCCTCAAGCCTAAAGTAACGTCAAAAATTTGAAGGGGGCCACCCCAAAAAAAAGGCAAAGGAGAAATTCCTCCCCAGTTAAAATTGTGAAAAAAAAAAATTTTTCGGGTTTAAACCTAAAATTCTGCCATAAAAAAAGGGGTAATTTAAAACTGGGATTTGTCCTATCCGCCGGTGTAGGTATAATTTAAAAAAAAAAAACTGGGAAACCCACCCCGGATTCTTAAAAGGGGTTTTTTTAGGGG